CCCAATCATGAATCTCTGCAATAGTCTGTAGGTCATGGGTACTGCTGAGTTATTTTGAGAAAGCAACTATAGATTACAGTCCACGTAGAAGATGGATCACTTCAACGATATTATATTTTCTACAGCTAGTTGGATCCGATTCCCATGAAAATTATTTGAAATTGATTATTTTGATTTAAAATAATTTTTAGATTGATTATTTGAATTTTTATGATTCTATGGATATTTTATTTTTAAAAAATGGATATATAAATTGAGATATGTTGATTTTTCAATATTTACATATTCAGAGAGAATTTTTTTTACTTGCATTATTCTAGAAATAGCGTTAATAATTTTATAATTCACAAATATTTGAAAGGGCCAATGGGAGCCCACCAAGTCTACCATTGTGATGTACGTGGGGGGTCCCATATAAGGGCTCCATGGGTGGCACGTAATACTTAGTGGGGATAATTTTCTTATTTTCTAACCTTGTGAATCAAGGCAATCAAACAAGAGAACATTTATGGAAAGTGGTTTGCAGATATTTTGCTTGAAACAAGAATAAAAGGTTTTGCAATAAAGGAGATTTGATTTCAATAAAGAAGTATGTGTCAGAAGATTTTGGAAAATAAATGTAAGTATGATATTATTTTTTATATTTTATTATTTGATAGAATTATGTCTAGGAAGCTGAAGAATAAGGTTCTAGCACATTCATTTGAATCGTAATGGGTGATCTAAAGATTTGGATGACTAAAATTTCTTATCCCACAGATCTCTTATAATCAATGGTTCTGATTTAATCTCACTAAGGATGACTAATCATAAGGAAACCTTAACCCTTGGAAACTCTCTAAATAGGGGCCCTCCCTCCCTCTAATCTCTATACCTCTCGTGTCTTATCTCTCTACTCTCTCTCTTAGGTGGCATGCCACCCCTTGGGATTTTCTCTCTCATCCCTTTAAGTTAGTTTTCTCATCTCTCTTTCCATTAGTAAAAGCAAAGTAAGGGGCACACCCCACTGCTACTAGACATTAGGGACTAGGCTATGCTCATAGATGTTTCATTGCTCTCATATTGATAAAGTTGTAGCTAAGGATTTCTCATACTTTGTAGATCTGAGATAGACCATTAATCCTGTGCATCATTAGATGAAGGAACCCGATGTGGGGTGTACTAAGTCTGGTTGAAGTCATCTTCTGGCTTCTTGCTTTGTGGTTTGCAACATTTTATTTCTTATACTTTCTTATTCGCATAAGTCTTGTGTTGGTTTTATTCATTGAATAAAAAAAGTTGTAATTAGCGGTAACAAGTGCGAACCACTCGATTATTTATTTGTTTATTTCAATTGTTTTATTGTACTTGGACCTTTGTAAATATTCTAGTTGGTGAGAAAAATTAAAATTAAAATCTATATATACTGTGCTAGATCATCTTATCTAACTTTAATGCATCGTTAGTCATAATCCAAGAGCAGGAGGATAGCTGGAACCTAACCAACCTTTCTTGAATGCAAACAATGCATGGATGATTATGCTCTCTCGTTCTCTCTCTCATTGGAACTGCCAAGTTTCATTTTAAGGGCGGTTAGAAAAGGCACAACTTGTCATAATCCAAGAGCTGGGGGATGACTGAAACTCAACCAAACTTTCTTGAACAATAAGATTCCATTAATGATCAAGCTCTCTCTCTCTCTCTCTCTCTCTCTCTCTCACTACAACGACGACGTTTCATTTTAAGTGTGCCTAGGAAAGCCGGAGCATGTCTTAATTCAAGAGTTGGGCAGCGATCGGTACCTAACCAATCTTTCTTGAACACCAGCATTCCATTAATGATTTAACGCTCTTTCTCTAATGGTCTGTTTGATAACTAGAAGCAAGTTCATGAACTGTAAATTGGAAGTTCTTAAGTTCTGTGAACTTAAGTATTTCCTGGTTTCTGTGTTTGATAACTTCTATGGGAAGTTACGAAGTTCCTGATTTCTGTGTTTGATAACCTCCTGGGAAGTTAAGAAGTTCCTGGTTTCTGTGTTTGATAACCTCTTGGGAAGTTAAAGAAGAACTGGGTATCTGTATTGGATAAAAGAAAATTAGAGAAAAGACTAGTTTTCATCCCATTGACAAGAGTTACATTTTTCATATATCCACAACTAACATCACATGATAAAAATGCATTTTGGTTTCCAAACCGGCCTATAGTCCTTACAAAAGAAACATCATGGGGTTAGATATCATCTTGAACTGGGTATCTGTATTGGATTAGAGAAAAGACTGGTTTTCATCCCATTGGCAAGAGTTACATTTTTCATATGTCCACCACTAATACCACATGATAAAAATGCATTTTGGTTTCCAAACCGGCCTATAGTCCTTACTAAAAGAAACATCATGGGGTTAGATATCATCTTGAACTGGGTATCTGTATTGGATTAGAGAAAAGACTGGTTTTCATTCCATCGGCAAGAGTTACATTTTTCATATGTCCACCACTAACATCACATGATAAAAATGCATTTTGGTTTCCAAACCGGCCTATTGCCCTTATCGAAAGAAACATCATGGGGGCAGATATCATCTTGAAGTTTCTCAAAATCAGTTGCAGTCATGTAATTTTTATAAAGTGTATATCATCTTGAAGTTTCGTAAATCAGTGGTAGTCATGTAAATTATATAGAATAGGTTTTGTTTTTTGTTTCTTTATTTGCAAAGAACAGGTGCACGTAATTTCCATCTATAGACTTCCACATCAATAACATGTCATATGCAGCCAAAATTAAAGCAGTCTATAGACAATGTTCCATGATAAACTTCCACGCAAATGTTCCATGCTAAACTTCATTGTATCGCAAAATTAAAGCAGTCTATAAACAATGTCAAGCAGTAAGAAATCAATCAATTCAATAATAACTTGAGCACTACTTATATTCAGCACTGATACATCTGTATCAAGCAACATTTACAATTCACGCATCCATAAAGAAAATCATGTACAAAACCAACCCATTCAATAATAACCTGTAATAGTTTTAACATACATTATTCAAAATGTAATAGAATGAACACAGCATAAAAAGTTCATATGAAATTAGAACAATTTAATTACAAATGTTAGCAACTTAGGTAGGCTTTCCATAACTGCGTTGCTATGGCATCTCGCAGATTGACGCCAACGTCATGATCAACGTGCCCCTGAGTCAATTACGAAAAACCATCATCTCCATTAATTACGAGTTGACTCTCAACCTTCCTTCGAAAACACAACTCTCTTCTGCTATCGGCTCCCCGAGTCATCATGATGTAGTTGTGCAATATTGCATATGCAATAACTACATCAACTTGTGTTTGTAAATACTGCATTTGATTCCTGAGTACAGGAAATCTAGCCTTCCAAAGTCCAAATGTCTTCTCCACCACATTTCTAAGCATGGAATGCCGCTTGTTGAATAACTCCTTGTGATTCTGAGGAGCTCGTGGGCCTTAAGTAAATTCGTTTAGATGGTAATGGACTCTTCGATATGGTCCTATGAAACCACATATAGTAGGATACCCACAATCTATAAGGTAATATTTTCCTGTACCATGTTTGTGCAATGAGTATATTGTAAGGTCAAATATTACACAGAAATATTGTACAAACCGAAGCAACGAAGCATAGGAAGGAATGGAGTTACCCTCAGGCACTGCAAGCCTACTGCCTTCATTACTAATTGCGTCATATAGGACTTTAGAATTTGATACAGATCCTTCCTAACCTGCAAGTACATAATGGAAGCGCATATAGAAACCAACCGCAACTATAACATTCTGGCTTAAAAAACCTTATCATGTTAGTTATTCAGGATACATCTTAACTTTTTCTTAACCAATGTTTTAAAAAACCATGTAACTCACTCTGAACTCAACCAACACAACCCAAATCTTGAGCAAAGAGATTCATTATTGTCATCATCATAAAAGTCTTTTATCCATTAATTAGGGTAAGCTACTTGAATTCTAGTATGCTATTCTACTTTATTAAGGGTTATATTCTTAGTGAAACCATAAGTCCCTATGTCATGAGCAAAGAGATTCTAAACAGAAAAAGTCTTCGAAATAATTTTGGAAACGATTATGCAATCGACTATGAACTCGAGCAGGGACATGAGTCCCTTCAATAGCTTCGACACAATCCTATTAAGAGAAAACAATCATACTATTATATATTAATTCTCAATGGATGTGAGAACAACAATGTGAATTACTTGACACTCACATACCTTGAAATATCGGTAAAATTCTAGTGTATCACTAGCAATGTGGGCGGGTGTTTTATTGCTTGCTGGTTGCAGGCACAAGGGCTCTAATTATAAAGTAGCTTGTAAAACTCTATGGATGTAGTAACTTATGGTCTGCCTTGAATGTTGGAATCGTTCTTAGACCACCCTATTTCGTTGATTGAGTGTGACAGTGCTTAAAAATATGGCTACTTGTTCATCAACTGCCAAATATCTTGTATCTGTAATGTTTGTCCTCTCTTTTAACAAATTATATAGACTGATAAAAACATAACTTTCCATTCGTAATTGGTCGAAGCACTTACGAGGGTGTCATGACAGCAAGTATTGGACATAATTGGCCCTAGTAAAAATCGCAGTATGAACACGCATTCTCTTTTTTGTGTAGTGATATACCAACATACAATGCACCACATTATATATGCAACAAAAAATATTACCACCAACCGATGCCGTTGGGGATCCATAATAGAAATAGAAGAAGGCACCCATATTAAATTAAAATAATATTTTTAATCAAACCATAATATGAAAGAAGCCATCCACATCCATAAAGAAAACCATGAAGCAACATTTGACATTAAATTGAAAGAAACCATCCACATAGAAATGAAAGAATTTATGCAAACCATAAAGTAATCTTTATCAAACCATATCATCAAAGAAGCCATCCACATCCATAACGAAAACCATGAAGCAATCTTTGATATTAAAACGAAAGAAGCCATCAAATTACAAATGAAAGAAGTCGTCCACATACATATTTATACCATGGAAACCATAAAGTAAACATAGTCAATCAAGTATTTAGAGGTATTCGTCCAAGTAAGCCTGTCGTATCTTTTGATGCGGTAAGTTTAATAATATCTCTGTCTTTGTAGAATCTTGAAAGATCCTTGCCGCCATTACAAAGGCATTATCACCAACTTCAATTGCTCTCCACGTGTCTTCAACAATCTTAAAGGCGTCTCTCCTAACCTTGGATGGACCATCTACCATAGGAGTACTGTTGTTACCTGCAGTTTCACGTGCTAGCATCTTAATGCTTTCGGCCACCTCTATCATAACTTTAGTCATGGAGTCATCGAAGGTGGGTTCCTTTGATTGGCATTGTGTTCCTATCGGAGTATGGGTCCGTCATCTTTTTGATCCAAATGATACTTGGTCATCAGATGAGGATGAGCTAGATTGGACCTGGACTTCTGCGGGGAGGGTCATTAGAGAATGCAGTTTCGGGCCTTTCTGGCTCAATGGTAATGCCACCCCCAGTCGATTTGTATGTCACATCTGTTGTGTTGCCTTCATAGATCTTACTTAGCAGTGAATATTAGGGGCAAAGTCTTGTTATGATATTTATTTGCCCATTCATTCTCCTGCATATAAAAGGTCATAAATTATTTTTAGCGATATTCATATTTAAACATATTCAAATTTTTTTAAGCCTATGCAAATGAGTAATTACATACCGCTTAGAAGTCAATCCAAACTGCACTCTCGGCTGTTACTATCTTCCTCCTTTCATCCCATCCAAACTTGGATACATTCATAAGTTTTGTTATGTCACTGTACATGATTTTGAAGAACTTGTACTTGCTCTTTAACCTACTTTTTTTTTTATTGGCCCAAACTTAATTGCCATTGCTTCTACCATCTGTTTCCAGGAACCTTTTTAAACCCCCCCCTCGCTTGCTTTGGATACAACTCTACTCTCCTTTTCCATAAGTTCAATGAAATGATCATCTTCTGCCTGTGTCCATTGCAAGTTCCTCTTGGATCGTATAATCTCAATCGCTATGCTTGATGATGTGTTTGGATCCATCCTAAAATAGGGAGAGAACAAAGCTATTATATTATATATAATCATTGAACCCCACACATCCATTGCACACATCATTATGGACTATGAGCCAATATACATTATACAATTATCGAATTTTATCATTCTTTACATCACCACTCATTTATCTCAAAAGAGAATTGTGAGAGAGAGTCATGAATTATGAGGACTTAGGGGTTTTACACTATCAATTCCACACAAGAGAATGATTCCCATATTAATTTATACATCGTTTCAAATTTCATTTTATATGGATTGGCTTTCTATGGATGGACTTGACTCACTTAGGAGCTTGTTTAAGTAAACAAGTCAAGCAAACACAAGCTCGCGTATCACCTTCCCTTAATCAATTGAAGCTCAAGTTGGGTGATTCAAGCTTGAATTAAGCCATGCCTAAGCCAGTCATCCAACCATACGATAATATGCATAAACTCTGTTATAAGACCATCAATCTCTACTATTTGAGCTTGTCTCTTCTCCTAGAGTCAAAAGGCTATTATGAAGAACAAACTCGAAATTCTACACAAGTAGATCACTAGAAAAATCTAAAGTAATCGAATTTCTCAAACAATTCTCATAATGTCCCTTAAATAGTTTATATGGCATTATAAAGTGTATAAATTCAGCAAATGCCCATTTTGTTGCATTCCTTTGATGCAAAAACAACATGTATCTGTCTGTGGTGTTAATCTATTACACACAACATGTGATCATCTCTAAATTGATAAATTTGGTCAAGATATGATTCAATTACATCAAGAGAGATGATGGTCAATTACACTTAAGAAGAACACCTCAAAATCAAATAAAAAAACTAAGAAAAAGACCTTCATTGAATTAAACAATGCATTTCTTTTCAAATGTGCCTAAGAAGATATTATTTATGGTTAGTTCAGGCACTGCAAATGACTTTAACTGCAAAGGAAATTGCTATATCATTTTGAGAAATGGAAAGGGAATCAAAATGAATACCAAGTAAGAATGAAAGCTGGATTGGGAACTGGTTTTGCAGTAAAATCTGTCCAATAGAATCAAAATCTAAGATGGGGAAGTGTCAGCAAAAGCTCTTGCGATGGATGCCTTTATCGCAAATAATCGAGCATGTAGTTGAAAGAAAGGTAAAATTTAAAACCTTATATGCTTTCCAAATTAGACATGTAGTTTGTACCAAGTTCTGATCCCAAAATCTCATCTACACTTGAAGATAGAACAAATAGCATTTGAAAATTACAACAAAAAACCAGTACAATCAATTTACCACATTTGCATGGACAGTTTCACAATAGCCATACTGGAGTTTTCGTATTGATAGATTCATAGAACATTAAACATTCATAATTTACCAAGGAGAATTCACATCCAATACACAGAAGCTACAATGTTTAATTACAAGTGCTAGCGACTTAGGTAGGCCTCCCACAACTACGTCGCTATGGCATTATTATGGACTATGAGCCAATATATATCCATTGCACACATCATTATGGACTATGAGCCAATATACATTATACAATTATCGAATTTTATCATTCCTTACATCACCACTCATCCATCTCAAGAGATAATTGTGAGAGAGAGTCATGAATTATGAGAACTTAGGGGTTTTACACTAACAATTTCGCACAAGAGAATGATTCTCATAATAATGTATACATGATCTGCACAAGAGACATAGAGAAATTGCACATATGCTTTGTGCTCTCTCTCTCTCTCTCTCTCTCAGCAAGATTATAATGACACAGGACATTTGAACATACATAGAATACCTTGTAATAGTTTAAACATACATAATAAAAAATGCTTGAACTAATGAATCAGCTCATTCAAATACACATGCACAATGCAAACAGTAAGAAATCAGCCCATTCAACAATAACCTGCAATAACTTGAGCACTACATATATTCAGCACTGATGCATCTGTATCAAGCAACATTCACAATTCATGCAACCATAAAGAAAACCATGTACCAAATCAACCCATTCAACAATAACCTGTAATAGTTTAAGCATACATAATAAAAAATGCAAGAACTAATAAACCAGCCCATTCAAACACACATGCACAATCCAAATAGTAAGAAATGAGCCCATTCAACAATAACCTACAATAACTTGAGCACTACATATATTCAGCACTGATACATCTGTATCAAGCAACATTCACAATTCATGTATCCATAAAGAAAACCATATACAAAACCAACCCATTCAACAATAACCTATAATAGTTTAAACATATATGATTAAAATACAGGAACTAATAAATCAGCCCATTCAAATACACATGCATAATACAAGCAATAAGAAATCAGCCCATTCAACAATAACCTGTAATAACTTGAGCACTACTTATATTCAGCACTGATGCATCTGTATCAAGCAACATTCACAATTCATGCATCTACAAAGAAAACCATGTACAAAATCAACCCATTCAACAATAACATGTAATAGTTTAAGCATACATAATTAAAAATACAAGAACTAATAACTCAGCCCATTCAAACACACATGCACAATCCAACTAGTAAGAGATCAGCCCATTCAACAATAACCTGCAATAACTTGAGCATTACATATATTCAGCACTGATGCATAACATTTACAATTCATGCATCCATAAAGAAAACCATGTACAAAACCAACCCATTCAACAATAACCTATAATAGTTTAAACATATATAATTAAAAAATAAAGAACTAATAAATCTGCCCATTCAAATACACATGCATAATGCAAGCAGTAAAAAATCTGCCTATTCAACAATAACCTGTAATAACTTGAGTGCTACTTATATTTAACATTGATGCATCTGTATCAAGCAACATTCACAATTCATGCATCCATAAAGAAAATCATGTACAAAACCAACCCATTCAATAATAACCTGTAATAGTTTAAACATACCTAATTAAAAATGCAAGAACTAATAAATCAACCCATTCAAATACACATGCACAATGCAAGCAGTAAGAAATTAGCCTATTCAACAATAACCTATAATAACTTGAGCACTACTTATATTCAATACTAATGCATCTGTATCAAGCAACATTCACAATTAATGCATCCATAAAGAAACCATGTACAAAACCAACGCATTCAACAATAACTTGTAATAGTTTAAACATATATAATTAAAAACACAAGAACCGTTAAATTTGCCCATTCAAACACACATGCATAATGCAAGCAGTAAGAAATCAGCCTATTCAACAATAACTTGTAATAACTTGAGCACTACTTATATTCAACACTGATGCATCTGTATCAAGCAATATTCACAATTCATGCATCCATAAAGAAAACCATGTACAAAATCAACCTATTCAACAATAACCTGTAATAGTTTAAGCATACGTAATTAAAAATACAAGAACTAATAAATCAGCCCATTCAAACACACATGCACAATCCAAGTAGTAAGAAATGAGCCCATTCAACATTAACCTGCAATACCTTGTGCACTACATATATTCAGCATTGATGCATCTGTATCAAGCAACATTCACAATTCATGCATCCATAAAGAAAACCATGTACAAAACCGACCCATTCAACAATAACTTATAATAGTTTAAACATATATAATTAAAAACACAATAACTAATAAATCTGCCCATTCGAACACACATGCATAATGCAAGCAGTAAGAAATCAGCCTATTCAACAATAACCTGTAATAACTTGAGTACTACTTATATTAAGCACTGGTGCATCTGTATCAAGCAACATTCACAATTCATGCATCCATAAAGAAAACCATGTACAAAACCAATCCATTCAACAATAACCTGTAATAGTTTAAACATACCTAATTAAAAATGCAAGAACTAATAAATCAGCCCATTCAAGCACATATGCACAATGCAAGCAGTAAGAAATCAGTCCATTCAACAATAACTCGTAATTACTTAAGCACTACTTATATTCAGCACTGATGCAACTGTAGCAAGCAACATTCACAATTCATGCATCCTTAAAGAAAACCATATACAAACCCAACCCATTCAACAATAACCTGTAATAGTTTAAATATACCTAATTAAAAATGCAAGAACTAATAAATCAACCCATTCAAACACACATGCACAATGCAAGCAGTAAGAAATCAGTCCATTCAACAATAACCCGTAATAACTTGAGCACTACATATATTCAGCACTGATGCATCCATATCAAGAAACATTCACAATTCATGCATCCATAAAGAAAACCATGTACAAAATCAACCCATTCAACAATAACCTATAATAGTTTAAATATACATAATTAAAAATACAAGAACTAACCATGTACAAAATCAGCCCATTCAAGCACACATGCACAATGCAAGCAGTAAGAAATCAGCCCATTCAACAATAATCTGTAATAACTTGAGCACTACTTATATTCAACACTGATGCATCTGTATCAAGCAACATTTACAATTCATGCATCCATAAAAAAACCATATACAAAACCAACCCATTCAACAATAACTTGTAAAAGTTTAAACATACATAATTAAAAATTCAAGAACTAATAAATCAGCCTATTTAAACACACATGCACAATGCAAGCAATAAGAAATCAACCCATTCAATAATAACCTGTAATAGCTTGAGCACTGTTGCATCTGTATCAAGCAACATTCACTATTCATGCATCCATAAAGAAAACCATGTATAAAACCAACCATTCAACAATAACCTGTAATAGTTTAAACATACATAACTAAAAATACAAGAACTAAGAAATCAACCCATTCAAACACACATGCACAATCCAAGCAGTAAGAAATCAACCCATTCAACAATAACCTGCAATAACTTGAGCACTACATATATTCAGTACTGATGCATCTATATCAAGCAACATTCACAATTCATGCACCCATAAAGAAAACCATGTACAAAACCAACCCTTTCAACAATAACCTGTAATAGTTTAAACATACATAATTAAAAATGCAAGAACTAAGAAATTAGCCCATTCAAACACACATGCACAATGCAAGCAGTACGAAATCAATATATTCAACAATAACCTGTAATAACTTGAGCACTAGTTCTGGGAATTGAATCGAACACCAATAGCATGCACATAGTTTTGATATCATTGCCAAATTATCATACAATCTCAGAGTAAATAAAAACAATTACTATATACATAATCTAATATCTTAGGCCTGTTTGGACATGCTAGTTGAAAAGGATTAAAATTGATTTCTCCCCCTCTCATTTAGGAGAAAAAAATAGTGGAGCATTGCCCACTACTATGTATGGCGAGCCCATTATGCAACTCCACTTTTTCCAGAAATGGCCCCAACAGTGGGAAGAAAGACTTCTTTCCAGATCTCTTTTAAACTACATTTAAATGGCCCCAATAGTGGGAAAAAAGACTTCTTTCCAGATCTCTTTTAAACTACCTTTCTTACTGAAGTTGTTTGGCCATCTGAATGGGGCCTTGTTTTATTAAATAACCAAGCCTATTGAACTCCAAAAAAGATAATGAAATGAATCAATTCAACAAGGATTATGTAGTTACAAATTAGTTTGTTGCATCCTGTTATTCTTTTTTTGCTTCTCTTTTATCTTTTGTTTCACAGCTTTGTTTTTTCCCTATTTAGTTTGAGTTCAATCTAAAACTCATTTTAAGACATTATAAAACAGAAGAAAAAGATAAATTAATCCATGGAATTGTGAAGTATATTCCACTGGCAAATTTTGCCATAATCCAAACAGTAACACCAATCATCTGCAGTTACATAAGATAGAGCAATTATCATGATATGAGACATAAATTAAATGAGAAATTATAATGCAATAATGAAGAGTCAGTGTAGAACCACTAGATTCATGGATTAAATATGAGTACAATAAACTAAGAACTAATATCACAACAGGGAGAGCTATTCCACCACAAAAATAGGGGAACAAAGAAGAAGAAGAAGTAGAAATATAGCATAAGCTGAAAAACAAGCTTAAATTTCGTGTAATGACTCGAACAAACCCATAAAACCCTAGAGATTTCCAATGTTTAAGCTCAGATAAAAGCTTAAAAATCAATTAATTGATCAGAGAGAATATCAGAAAGCCCTAGAAATAGTTAAGGAGAAGCCATAGAAATAGTTTTCGTTTTTATGCTCAAATCTAGGAGATCCAAGCTCTTGAAAACTTGGATCAGAGCTCAATGAAGTTTTTAATGTATTCGTATTCTGATCAGAGCTCAATAAAGTTTTTAATGTATACGTACTCTGATCAGAGCTCAAAGATCAAGTAACCTTAAACTCGAAGAAGAGATAGAGAGAGAAAGATTACAAAGAAAGATTATTACAAAAATCAGAGTCAATAGCATACCTTAGATCAACGGGTAAACTCGAAGAACAGAGGGTTCGTGCTGCGAAGAGAGGGGTGCTTAGCAGCGAATGGGTGCTCAACGGCGAAGGCGTCCTCAACGGAGAACGCGTACTCAGCGGAGAAGGGGTTCTCAGCGGTGATGGCGTGTAAAGAGCCAAGGGTTATCGAAAGGGTATGAAGTAACAAACTTCCTATTTTGAGTTCCGACCTTTAGGACATAACTTTTTTTTAACGCGAGACGGGAAGATGGAAAGTTGTGATACGAAGTTCCTTTTTTTTATCAAACACGGAACTTGAACAGTACTGAGAACTTCTCAACGAAATGTCTTCCTGTTATCAAACACTCCCTAATTGCAAGGGCCAATTTTCTTTTTAAGGACGTCTTGGAGGGCCTCTCCTATGTCTTAATCCAAGAAAAGATTCCTCTCTTACTATCTCCATCTCTTTCACGCTATTCTAATTCCATTTGCAGAGTGCCATGTTTCCATCCACCCCATTGTCTGTTGGGAGGGTTGAGCGATGAATCATTTTAAGAAGGCGATAATGATTGCTAACCGATTAGCATTATGTGCCCTTCTCTTTTGCCTTTGTAAGGCCAACAAAAGGCCAACTTGCATGAATAGAGAGAGACCCAAGTTGCCCATCCACCTAGATCTTTATCACCCATGAATGTTTAATTTTATATATAAACAAACATAGATAGAGCCTTTTGTAGAGAGAGAAACCAAACATACATGAGCCTGTTGTAGAGAGAGAAACCCAGCCCCACCTAAAAGGAAGCCTCTCCATTGAGATTCCCACAGTCATGGAGAAGCCTTTCCTCTCTTCTTGGCCTTGGGCAAACCTGGGCAACTTCAAGGCATTTCTCTCTCTAGATTTGGATTTCCTTTCCATTTATACTCTCTCTCTCACTAACTTTTTTTTTTTTTCTGTTTGTGTTGGAGCAGTATGTTCTATATGGACCACTAATTGCAGAGACTGTGAGATTGAGACATTGGGGGAAAAATTATCAAGCAAAAGAGGATTGGTGTCTCCACATACTCCTAATCTCAACACTTAGATGCTTTATTCACCAGTTGTGGTTCTCTTACTCTTCTATACATTTCTTGGCGGAAAAACACAGGATTATGAAGCAAGGGGTCGATTTTCAGCAGATTGATAGAGAGTGGGACTGGTAATTCTCAATACAAATCACCCCAACTGAAAATTTCCCTAAATTATCTCACCCCAAATCTCATTTTTGGTACTTATTTTCCATTTTTCTTCGACTTTGGTGCAGGGATAATTTCATTATTCTTCAGGCAGTGATGGCTGCTTTATTTTGCCGTATCTCCTGGTTTTCAGAGAGCTTTCCTTTGTGGAATTTAAATGGATTCCTTTGTGCAATGGCCATACATGCTGCCGTTGCAGAACCTCTGTATTACTTTTTCCACAGAGCCTTTCACTCATACAAATGCCTCTACAACCATTACCATTCTCTCCACCATTCCTCTGTGGAAACCCAGTCTTTCACAGGTGCACTAAATCCCATCTCCATTTATTATTTTCATGTACATGCATAGATAGAAAGAACTGAGAGAGAGAGAGAGAGAGAGAGAGAGAGTACATACTCATCACCAAAGAAAACGAGTGACTACTTACCTAACGTTAGTAGTAGAAGAACGGAACGGTACGGTAGGACGTCCCTTCGTGTTAGTTAACGT